TAATGGAGTAACTGGGCTTAAAAAAAGGCTGCTTTCCCGCGCGGAGACGCGAACGCTCACCGTGAAGAGCTTCTGCAGCATCCAGCCGTGGTATTTCTTCAGCGCGATCTCGTAAGCCTTCAAGGCGTTCACTCGGATGAGGTTCGGGTGCTCCTCGTCCCGCTCGCCGTCGGAGATGCTCTGCAGCAGCACCAGCATGAACTTCAAACCCCTGGGAGGAGAGCGGAGACGTCGGGGTAGGGAAGGGGGTGCTGCTTCCCAGCCTCCAGGAAGGCAACTCCCAAGCATCCCGGAGCATCCAGGGCCCTCAAAACCCCACAGCAACCCCCTTGCAGAGCCCACCCCTGTGTGTTCTTGCTCACACTGTGCATCCCGAAATGCAGCACCCCATGCTGCCCCAGCCAGACCCCATCCTGAGGGGACTCCAGTTGGTGTTGGATGAGCTCCCCGTGTGCCGGGACGCAGCCCAGAGCGGCCCCCAATGCCACGCGTCACCTTTTCCAGGGCGCCCCCCAATGCCCCGCGCCACCTTTTCAGCCACATCAGCGCCAGCGTCGCGCCCGTCTTGGGCCAGGCCGAGCCGTGCATCTCCTTCTCCACCTCCAGGATGTTCTGCAGGGTTTTGAACTTGGCGGGGTTGGAGTCGTAAACTGCCCGGATTTTCTGGGGGAGCAGAGATGGGGGGGTTGGCTGCCAGGAGCTGATGGGAAGAGCCGGCACCGACAGCTGCGGCACAGGGAAATGTGGTGCCAGCAGCAAGCACCGCGGCTGCCGAATGGTGCTGTCACCCCGTTAATGAACGTGCTGAGCCCAACAGCCCCCATGGGAAGAAAATCCCTTTTAAACGCTGCTGGGTCTCGCCTCCCCAGTCCCACAGCATTTCATTTTTCCCTCCTGATATTTCCTTCCTACCTTGATATTTCCAGTCAGGTCTGCTTTGACTGGCGAGTAGACGATGGGAGTCCCCAGGCAATCTGTGGAAATACAGAAAGGGGATGATTTGCTTTTAGGGACACTGGAGACACCACAAAGTCCCAAGTTGTTACCAAGAGGTTTCGCCCTCAACACAGCCAAGGCACTGAGGCTGGGAACGACTCTTCAGGCTTCGCCCATGGCCACAGCGCTGCCTCACCAGCGACCCTCTGACCCCC